TATAAGTTAATTTGCTTTATTTAAGTTTTAAATCCATTTGCCAATGCATGCGGTATAGTACTTTAGCAAGAAAGTGCTGAAATCTACTGGCATGAAACATTCAAACTGCAAATGGAAAATCTGCCCAGTCAAGTGGTGCTCCAGTGTTTCCCCTTTAAACACAGCAGCAGCAGTGCCTGGTTGCTGGAATGGCCTTGCTGGGGAGGCTTGTAAATGTACCATGCATTATATAGCCCAGGAAGCAGGGTGATTTGAACAGACTAAAAGAATTTTGACTTTTCTATTTTCTGACTTTCAGGGATTTCATTTTTAGCCTTAAGCTGGCATTATGAAGGTTTTTTACAAGGAGTAATGGGATCATTATTTCTTTCCCTAGTGAAAGGGGTGTCTCCAAGAATGGAACCATGTGGCGGGGCAGAACTCAATCCCAAAGGAATTGAATATGAATCACCCAGGCAATAAAAACTGCTAAGGGAATCTGTGTTGTCAGCTCACCAGAACATCAGATTCACACCTCTGGTCCTGCAGGAAGGTGTTATGGGGTTTTTTAAAGGTCCCCTGTGGCCATGACCTTGGCTTTCTATCCTTCTAAGAAGTGGCTCACCGGTCAGCCAATGTATTGGGCTGGCATTTTGATCCTGCAGGAAATAGAACTAGCCTTCTTCCGCAGTCCTCTATATCCACCCTAGAAGTCTGACAAGAATGGTAGCCTCAGTGGTATGGCTGCATCATGCATAGGACGCTGGTCCAGCATTTCTGATGCTAATCTCTGGTTTTCACAATCCTTCCTCTCCCCCTGCAGCCATTAAATTTACAGTCTGAATATCGCATAGAAACAGAACCTAAACTGTAGCACTTTAATGCATAAGAACTACAGTAAACAGAACTGTAGGAATTGGAATAAAACATGAAGGATTAGTATTGTCTAAACACTCTTCTTTATTTTTCTAAATTTTCTACTTAAGAGATTTCTTTGTCCTTTTTGTCTACTATGCCCTTCCTTGCAAATTAGTCTGATTTTTATTAAATGTCCTGCCAAGAATATGATTTTTAATAAACGTACTACCAAAATGGATTGTGCGATGACATTATGAACTTAAACATCTTTAAGATTTAAAAATGTGTAGGTAGCTTCACTTTATAAACAACATTTTACAAATTATTTCTTACCTCTGTGCAAAAGACAATGCATCTATTGAATAAAATCAGCAACACTTGCTTGATTCCCCCCACCCCACTAAAAAAAAATTGGGCTAATTCATATTACTTTTAAAACATTTTATTAATGAAAAATGTGAATCATATGCAAGCAGCATTTTTCCCCCTCTCTCGTTAGAAAAAAAACACAACAGTTTGTACCTGCTGGCAAAATTGGTTTACTCTGCAAGGATGGTACTGTGTTTTACCCCTCTTTGCTTATTAAAGAGTTAAACACTTTTGCAATTATATTTATTTCATTTTTACATTTCTCTCCCTTAGCCTCTGTGTGTCCATTGAAAACATTTTTGGGTCCTTTCACAATTTTCCCAGAACTGCCTTCCAATCGTGCCCATGGAGAGGTGGTTATACTCTGTTCTCCCACCGGCTCAGACACGCAGCTTGTCTAGAAAGCCACAGTCGCCGTGGAGGAGGTGAGAGGTCAGCTCTTTCGTTGGTCCTGGTGAGGGCAGAATTTTTACTTAGGCAGGAGGTGCACTGACTGGCAAAGGGAAGAGGAAAGGGTTCGCCCTGGACCCGGCAAATCCGCCTCTTGGAGCGAACAGCCGGCAGGTAGAGGGGCCTATTAGAGACTGCCCAATTCCCGGGAGGGCCAACCCCAGCCAGGAAGAAGACCTGAGGCGTAGGACCCCTGCGCAGGAGGTTGCAGGAATGCCCCGCCCTAGCCCCAAGGTTCCTCCTGGCCCGTAGAGCTTCCGTGATCTCCGCCAAAATGCGAACGGTGAGGTCCTGGTATGGATCCAGTTTTTCGTCCGAAACCTGAAAACACTAGCTTGAGATTTCGCAGTTCTGGCCCTCGGGCTCGACTCGGAGGCGCATTCCCAATCCCCACGGAACGAATTCCGCATAGGCCGCAGCTAAAATGCATTTTCCCAAGGCAGTAAAAGTGACCCCTGCCCCTAACAACCTTCCGGGCTTTCTCTTCTGGCTACCACCTCTCCCAGGGTGCGCTGAAATCTCTTTATCATTATCGTTTTTTATAAATGAAATGATTTATTTTTTCGCTCTTTGCAGGGAATGAAAGGAGTTGATCCTGACTCCAAGATGCATTCCAAAGAAAGAAAACGCAACTGTAGCCCGGACTCCGCGGAGGAAGGCCAACTGACTCCACCACGTGCACTTCCGAGCCACTTGGGCCCAGCTCGCTGTGTTAATTATGGGTTCTAATTTTATTGCAACTCGGCACCTCCTGGTTTGTTCCCACTATAGTGGTCTTAAAAAGAAACACACACAGGCATACCCCAGAAAGAATCCCCGAGAAGGCAAAGGTGGATTTTTTCGGTTCTTGAGTTGATGCTCTCAGTGCGCACTGAGAGTTACGGGCATGTCCTGGCCCTCGGGAAACAAATTACAGTCAAGAGCAGGGTATTTCCCGGTCCTCTCCATGCCCCTCTGTGCGCCACTCGGCCACGGGGCTCCTGGAACATGTTGTGCACCGCCCCAGTGGCTGCGGACCTCACCTCGACGCCCTGGATGGCCAGGGCCAGGAGGAGACGTGCAGGCAGTCTCCCGCCCTCACCCAGTCATCTGCGACCTCCTCGGCGTGGATTCTTGGCCCGTAGTGAGGAGGACAAGGTTGCAGATCCTCTTTGCTACAGGTTTTGGGTCCGGCCTTGGGCGGCATTCTGTGTTCTAAAGTGTGGAGGTGGGTAGAAGAATGTCCACTTTCAATGTAGACACCTGCGGTATGGGGGCTTCTTTGGGGGCTCCAGCGTGAGGTGCTCCTGCAGATTAGGGGAATGGAGAGAACAACAATGGGGACATGGTGGAATTCAGATTTCCCCCTGTTAATTAACAATATGATTTCGTTTAATCCAAGTGTCTTGTGTGCTCTTATTTAATGTCTTGTAAAACGGGAACTAGAATAATACCTCCTTGGTACGGTTGTTGTGTTAGACGTGAGCCCTCAGCAAATTGTAGGATGAACTGGAGAAGAATGGGTCCATCACTCCCCACACCCTTCCCTGCAGAGTTTCTTTGCTGCCCCCAGCTTTCCCGCCCTGGCGCAAGGACAGCTCACTACCAGTGTCCTTGAGTAGCCCCTGGGGGCCGCAAGAGAATCCAGCCTGGTAGGGCATGGAAGGTGGGTTTTCGGTGAATCGTGAAAAGACATGATCGGGTTTCCCTTGGAGCATGGTGGAGAATGGTGGGGAGCTTTGGAGTCAATGGAGAGTTGAGGGTGCAGAGGGATCTGAAAGGGGGTACCAAAAATGTCGGGCTTTGAAGTTCTGTGGATTTTCAAAGGCGGTTCCCAATCTTGTCAAAAACTGCAGTGGGAGCGCGATCTAATCTGGTTCCTATAGGTGGCGCTGTGACAAGGTGCGGTGGCCGGGAGAGGCGGCTGGGGTACTAGAAGACTGCGGGAAATTTTCTGTGACTCCGACGCTAACCCTCTGCTCCCAGCCTCCGCTTCCTGTTTTCGAGGGATTAGCTAGGACTATGCAACACCAGTCTCCGCTTTCGGAGTCGGCACGGGGCTGGTGGGTGGTGGGGTGAACTCGGGGAAGGCGACAGGCTGGAAACACAGCGCCTAGACTTTACAGCGCACCAACCCCCTATCGCCCGGTACGCTGCTCAGGTGCGAGGACTCGCCAGACTGCACAGGACTGGGGGCGACTCGCAAGGGCGTCATGCCACCTAGAGGAAACGCGCAGTGAGTGAGCCCTGGGTCACTGAAAATGGGAGAACTCTCGTGTCCGTCAAGATGACTCCGGCCTGAGGGTTGATTCAGACTCCTCGGAAGCCAGAAGTTAGAGTGGGTTGGTCCCTCCATCAGCAGTTCGGGCCCAGCCGAAGCTTGGGGCCTAGAGGGCAGAGGCCCGGCTCTGATCAGAGAACTGCAGGCTGGGCCTCACAGCCTGCAGGCAACCTGGACCTTGCAATAAAGTTGCATTCAACATAACTCAGACCACAGTGGGAGCCCCCGAAGGGTTTCATGTGAGTCCTGAAACCAGGGTTTAGAGGCTTGGCCTGGTTCTCGTTTGTCTTTTCCAGACAGCATTTAGGCCAATAGGGTCTTTGGAAGGAGGCAGCCCCAAAGCCCTCAAGCCTGAGGGCAGGGTCTCAAACCAGCAATCTTGCTTTTCCCACACGCAGCTGCACCTCTCCTGAGCGCTGCAGCTCACGGCTGTATAGTGACCATGTACTGCGTCCTCCTCACCAAGCTGCGCAACTTCTGCTAATGCTGCCACCCTGGCAAGACGAAATCCCCCTCCCTCTGGCTAGATCAGCTCAGCCTCCCCTCAGGGACCCTCCCTGCCCCTAGGCCGCTCCCCTCTTCCTCTGTTGGGATCCGATCCTTGTTCGCTCTTGCAATCCCGCAGCCCAGAGTTTTGCCCCCTGCATAAAAATATGTTCTCTTTCATTTGCGGATTTAATAAACAAACGTAATCATATCACATGGAGCTCCACACTGTCCTTCTGAAAGCAATTCCACTGTTGAAAACTGAAAAATGGGTGTAATTTGCGTTCAGAAAGTAATGTTAGGGTCACGGCAATTTCCCCGGCCGTTATTTATTTTTACTTTAAAGTCTTTAGGAAAGATTTGCTTATATGCTCGGAAAGCTTCCAAATGCGAGAATACCAGCAATCCCGCTCGCCTTCAACGCGTGGGGTAAGGGGGGTGGGGAACAATTACTGAGTGACGCTAATATGGGGAAACTGAAAAGAAATGTCGATTGTTTTTACTGTAATAGAAGGAGTGAGCAAACAGAAAAACCAACCCCGGGTGATCGGAAACAGGCAGGCGGAGAATTAAAAGCGGATTTCAGACAGCAACAGGCCCCTCCCCTGCCCTCGCAAGGAGAAAGCGGGCGACGAGCTCTCTCAGCCGGTGGGGCCGATCCCACCGCCCGCAGGGCTCAGGTCCCGTCGCTATCGGACCCTCAGAACGCCGGGACGCATTTCCGAGCTCGGGCCCGACCCAACCCGCTGCCATTCTAGCTACCTCGTGGAGTCACGGAGAGACTCTTGAACCGTAAGGCTCCTTGATGAGACGGTGGAGAGACCGCGGGGCTATTCTCCAAGCATCTTCCGGTCGCGCTCTGCTCCTCTCGGTGCGCTTGCGGCTTCTCCTTGGGCTGGTGCGTCCACAGTCCCTCCAAGTCCAGGCCGCAGGTCAGTGTGTGGGCGCCTCCTGTCCTCCTCTCCCACTCCGGATCTGCCTGGGGCAGAGGACCCCTGAAGGCTGTCTCCCTCCCCAATCCCCGAGACTGCTCCTTTTAGCGGCCGCCCCCCTCCCGCAGCGAAGATCCTGCAGGGCCAGCGGTCCTGGGCGGACCCTCCCTCTCCCCGGGCGCGGGGCGAGCTTCTGGCTGTCACTTGCCGCTGCAGTTTCTGGGAAACTCAGTTGACCGCTTACCCTGCAAAACGGGGACATAGCAGCGGGCCAGAGTTCTGGAGAAGCTGGGCCTGTTTTTCTCTCTGCACCGCGCGCAATACCCCAACTCATCCTGAAAGGTCTTGCCTTTACTGCGTTTTCTCCCAGACGGCTAGAAGTCAATGCACTGTGAAAATCCCAGTCCCGGACCTTGGACTCTGTCTTGCAATCCCTTAAACTCCTCCGAGTGGACAAGAGGCGGGCACCATCGCCTGGACCTCCCTTGGGGGATCGTGTCCCCAGCAGGGGGCAAGTTGGAGGAATCAGCTCCTTAATATTTTCTGCTAGCTCTGCCTGTCATAACTGCAACTCGGAATAGAACAACCTCTCTCCCGCGCATACGCACCCCCCACTCTCGCCCTGTCCTCCCATCCGCAGTCATCACTGACCTGTAGACCCGCAGGAGCAGGTTTCCTGGAGTCGGTCCAGGTTGGGGATACAGGGAGGAGTCCCCGCGTTCCGCACAACCTGCAGTGCTTGGGTCTGGGTACAGTCTGCCCGGCTAGATTCCTGTTGCTTCTCCGCGTCTCTCTGCCGGCCGCTCTAGTGCCGGGAAGGGGGCGCCGCAGGTGACTGCCCGCGGCACTGGGACGGCTGACAGATTTATGGAGACTTCACAGCATCTGACTGGGGTCCGCGAGGGCAGGGCGGAGTCCGGTCGATCCGGTGGTGCTGGGGTCTAAAGCTTCCCCAGCCACACGCCTGGGCCAAGCTGCACCCAGAGTCCCCGGCCCATGCTCCCCTCGGGCGGGTGTACACTACAATCCGGCCAGCGCCGAGTGTACTGGTTCCTCCCACTCGGTGCAGCCCCCCTTCTTCACACTCTCGGGCCCGGCTGGCTTCCAGTCTCCCACTGAATAAATATTTACCCACAGAGCGGGTCGCCCCTCGGAGGAGGCCTCGACGCGACTAGGAAAAGGCTTTTTGGCTTCTCCGCGGCCTGAGCCAGCTGCAGGCCTTACTGGTTGTGTTTTGGTTTTGGTCTTAAATTTCTCCTTTTAGTCGAAATTTTTCCCATCTCTTTGTGATCTTCTGGGTCCAGAGTGAGCAGTAACCAAGGGGCACTGACTCCAGCTGACCTTTGTTCTTTCTCTAAGTCCTACATCCTTACGTTCATCGGGACTGACCAGACCTTAGAGTTCTCTCTCTTCCTTCTCCCATCCCTCTTTCTCTCCCTCAGATCCGTCGTCTCTGGGTCGGTCTCAGCGGGTCGCTGACTACCTCGCCCCAGCACTCGGCCCGCGCCCCGGGAAGGCTTCAGCCTCACCCTCTTCTGCTGGGATCCCGCTGACACTGTCTGCAGCTTCGGCTTCTTTTCGTCCCAGATCGGGGGCTTCGGCTTGCCGCGGATACTTAGTGGCCCAAAGCACCTAAAATTGACTCTTCCTGCGCTCTTGAGAATGCCAAGAGCACCCAGTACCTGCAACCGCCGGCATGAGTGGGGCCTTAGGGGAGCCGCCGGCGCCACGGACAGGCCCTCTGCCCAGTGAGTTACTACCCCTGGCGCGCCCAGGGGATCCGCAGCAGCTAAGGCCACATGGTCACAGCCAAGTCCAGCAGGTGGAAAGGGAGAGATGGCATTGAACCTATGTGAGAACTGGGGAGATGTGTGACAGCTGAAGGAGTTGGTAGGAACAAGAGGGAGCTGTATGTTACCTCCATATAACCAGAGCTCTAAACCATGTCAGTTTCTGAACCAGTCTAGGCTGGTGCTGTAGAACTGCTAAAGCTCTCGCAAAGTCTCCAGAACCCCGCGGGACATTAGGTCTTGCCTGTTGGCATGCGAACATCCTTGTACCAGCCTAGCAGCCCTGCAGACTGCAAATTCTCCCTGGGTGCACGGAAGTAGAGCAGATTCGGCGCAGAGGTCGAAACTCACTGCGTGTCTGAGGTGGGAGGAGGATTCCCGCTTGATCAAGTTGCCGGGCAAGTTCAGTCCCTCCCGCAAGCCTAAGGCAAAGTCGTAAGCTCCCCTCCGATGCGGCAAAGCCTCAACTAATTTATCTACCAGCCTTAAGAAGGAGCTGCTGCTTCTAAAATCTTTAGATTTCCGAAGGCTTTCCTTGTGTAAAAATGCCAGGCGGTGCCACATGGTGTCATCCAACAGGTATTGGGGGTCAGACCAGGGTGAAATTGCTATCAAGTCAAACTTCAAGATTTTAAACATTTGAAACCAACCAACAAAAAGGGACAAGTTCAAATATGTCTAGTTGTGGGATTTTTCCCAAGATTCCGATTCTAACGAATGGTGTTTTAGTTCATCTTTATCTTTCACATCCTCCATTCTGTTAGGTAACTTTGAATTTACAGTGCATCCTAACCATAGAAGTGCGAATCTGGAGATCTGTTCCTTTGCAGAAGCATGGCTGATCATAGTTTTTTCCCGGGTTCTTGAAACTTACTGGCCTGAGATCTGGGACCAGTCAGCTTCCCTGGGTGTAGACCGGAGCCACACACATCCCTAGGGACTGCTGGGGAAGCAGCCTGAATCCTGTGTGCACAAGGAGCCTTCTGGATTGTCAAGTAGCAGTAGCAGAGTTCACGACCCCAAGAAGTACAAACTTCCAAATTCAGGAAAATATTTCTCTTCTTGTTTATTATTTTGATTCACATTCTCCACAACCCTAAATGCAAATATTAATAACTTTGGCTGCAAAAAGGCATACGGTACACTTTAGGTTAGACTTAGAGTGAACAAAAGTGAAAATTCAGAAGTAGGCAGAACTGCAGGGCCTCTGGGAGCTTGACGGAAGACGAGGGAATTACATCCATGTGCAGCGTCGGTGTCCACTGTCTTGGGACTAAGTCTCTTTTACATTTAAACAAAACTCTTTCGAGGGGGCTCACTGGTTTGGAGAACCCACGCAAACGCTGGCACCGAGAGCCAGGGGCCCAGGACAGTGGCTGAATGTGGAGGAGCCTTGGGCTCCATAGTGAGTGCCCCACGCACTGGCAATCGGTCGACTTGGGGCGGTGCGTTCGCGTTAGCCGCCTGTGGTTCAGTTCCCTGCACACGGCGTGGCCCCTGCCTCGAGCCTGTGTGGCTAGTGGTTAGCCGGTCCACCTGTACTGGGGGGCCACCGCAGGAAGTTGGCGGTAGGAGGAACCTCCCTGACCTTAACAGTGGCCCCCACCTGTTGCTTGGGCTCCCCGCAACGTCCTGGTTTCTCTGGCCGGCCTACCTTCTCACACCTGCGCTCTCGCCACCTGGCATGGACTGAAGTGAGGTAGAATCGGCAGGTGACACAGATCATCTCCTGACAGTCCCCAGAGGCCCGCATGACAGATTTTGCTAAGACAACTCCCTCACCCCTGTGCACGGTGGCGCCGCCTCCCACCTATAGTCTTAACTTCAATTCTGAGACGTCCATCGTTCCCTAGAGGAGGTCTCCTAGGGCCCCTTCTCCCTTCGAGTCATTCATATTCAGACCAAACGCTTTCATTTGTTTATTCAGCATTTTACCAGCCTGATTTTGCTGTCTTTTTGTGCCTCTTCTGGGAAGATGTCAAACACCCATTTTCATTGTATTTAGTCACCCAGGTGGGGAGCCAGCCTGAAAGAGACAGCGGAAGGAGTTTCCTGGACTGCGCTGTAGCTCACCGACCCGCACCAATCACCACGCAGCTTGCCCTCGGACCCGCCCCTTTTAGGGCGTGTCCCCAGTGAGTGATAGACTGAGCAGCCCGGCCCCGCTCAGCCCAGCCCACGTTGCTGCTTAGATTGAAATGCAGAACTCAAGTCTCTTTCATCGGGGCACAGACTTCCTTTTACTTCTTCCTTTTGCACTCTCGCCTCCTCCTCCTGGGAAGAATCGGAGGCGCCGGCGGTCCGCCCGGGTAGCAACAGGCCGGGCCACTGACGCGGTGCGGAAAGTTTCTGTCTGGGAGTGCGGAACTGGGGCCGGGTTGGTGTACTGCTCGGAGCAATGGGTGAGTGGCGGCGGGGGACTCTGTCAGAGCCGGGAAGGGAGGGAGGGAGCGAACGGGCGAGGGAGGGAGGGAGGGAGGGAGTGCGAGGGCGCGCGCCACTAAGCGCTCACATTCTCTATTGACTTTGCTCGTGTTCCTACAAGTTGTAGGAACACGCTAAGGGTCAGCGGCGCACAGCAGTTCAACGTGAACGCTGGCTACTGGGTGGCTGTTGATGCCATTTTCTGATTTTAAGAGAAGGGAGCTGTGGCATCAGCGCCCCACAGCCCCAGTAGCAAACCAAGTTTTGTTTCACACGCGCGCACACACGCAAACAAAACAGGAAAACAAAACAAAACAAAACAAAACAAACAACAACAACAACACACCCTCTAGCTTCCCCTAGACTTTAACTGCCCGGGTCTCCAGAACAAACGCTGCGGATGGGATGGGTGGAGAGAGGGAGCGGCTCAAGGACTTTAGTAAGGAGCAGGCGAGAAGAAGCGCGTTCAGGCGTCAAGACCGATTTCCCCTCCTGCTTCGGGAGACTTTGAACGCTCGGAGAGGCCCTGCGTCTCACCACTTGACTTGGTTGTAGGGGTCTCTGGCACGGCAGGAATGAGAGAGGGGGTCCGATTGGACCGTGACCGTTTCGGGCCGTTCGGCTATGTTCCGGGACCGTATGGTTTGGGGACAGTCCCAGTCGTTAGTACGGGACGGGCGCGTTCGCCCAGTCCCCGGACGCGCAGGGAGGCCCAGTGGCAGGCGGCTGTCCCAAGCAGCGGGTGCGCGTCCCTGCGCGCTGTGTGTTCGTTTTGCAGAGCCAGCCTTTGGGGAGGTGAACCAGCTGGGAGGAGTGTTCGTGAACGGGAGGCCGCTGCCCAACGCCATCCGGCTTCGCATCGTGGAACTGGCCCAACTGGGCATCCGACCGTGTGACATCAGCCGGCAGCTACGGGTCTCGCACGGCTGCGTCAGCAAGATCCTGGCGCGATACAACGAGACGGGCTCGATCTTGCCAGGAGCCATCGGGGGCAGCAAGCCCCGGGTCACTACCCCCACCGTGGTGAAACACATCCGGACCTACAAGCAGAGGGACCCCGGCATCTTCGCCTGGGAGATCCGGGACCGCCTGCTGGCGGACGGCGTGTGCGACAAGTACAACGTGCCCTCCGTGAGCTCCATCAGCCGTATTCTGCGCAACAAGATCGGCAACTTGGCCCAGCAGGGTCATTACGACTCATACAAGCAGCACCAGCCGACGCCGCAGCCAGCGCTGCCCTACAACCACATCTACTCGTACCCCAGCCCTATCACGGCGGCGGCCGCCAAGGTGCCCACGCCACCCGGGGTGCCTGCCATCCCCGGTTCGGTGGCCATGCCGCGCACCTGGCCCTCCTCGCACTCCGTCACAGACATCCTGGGCATCCGCTCCATCACCGACCAAGGTAGGGGCTCAGAGGCTGGTCATGTGAATGTGCAGCGTCTGCTTCCGCACTCCAGCGGAGGTACCAGTTTCTGCGGCCTCCGGGACCCTGTCTTTCCCACCACCTAAAGCTTTTTCCTTTGGAAAAGTAAGGAGTCTTCCTAGGGGGTGTCCTGATCTCATTAACTTGAAACTCATGCCCCTGGTTTCCTTGCCACACACAGTCTCCTGCCTCAACTCAAACTATCAGACCCATAACATCCCCCCATCCCTAACACATGGTTCGCATTTTCCACCCTCCCCCGCCTCTCGCGCCGAGGCAGCCTCAGCCCGGCTTGCTCACTTGGAGAGCACGGCTGGGGCTGGACTTGGGGCGCAGCCCGGGAGGCCCGAGCCTGCTTGGGGCTGCCGGCTGCAGACGCCGCTGCGGGCAGAGCAGCTTGCTTGGGGATCACTACAACCGGGAGCAGTCCAGCACGCGGTGGAAATTGAAGTAGTATTCTCCGATTCTGGATTGTGGTAATCAGGCCAAATTTGCTCAGGCAGGAAGTTCAAATGTCACCTAATTGGTTTCGTTCTTATGCTTCACTTCATTTTCCTCGGAAATAGAGGTCCCGAAGTTACTACTAGTAACTTGCATGTAACTCATTCCCAGATGAAGTCATATTCACATTGTCTCTCTCTCTCTCTCTCTCTCTCTCTCTCTCTCTCTCTCATCATTCACTTTCTAACTTAACAGACTTCACTGTATATATCTTAGGAAGGGAAGTGGCCTCAGCAACTGCAGTGATGGAGATAACATGCAGGCAATTCCATGCTGTCCTTTTACGGTTCTTTTCAGTTTTCCCTGAGCCTGCCACTTTCCTTTGGGGTCCCCGGGTCCCCGAGAATGCAAGTGGATATCTGTCTAGTTCCTGCATGCTTTCAGCAGTGCCACCCCACTGTTCCTTTCCTTTCTCACCCCTGACCTTGCCTAGTCCTAAGCGTCCTTTCTGCGTTGTCAGAAGGATTCCCCGAGCCCTCCTGCCCAGTCCGGCTTCCGCAGGAGACCTGAGTTTGTTTTCTTTTACTGAGTTTTTTTTTTTTTTTTTTTTTTTAAGGCGTTAACTTTTTTCTTGGTAGGGAGAAAAGAAAGTCTAAATGACCTAGATGCAGAATTTAAATAATGCGTAGATAGTCCACTTTCTTAATTTCTCAGCCTGAAGTTTTAAAAGTGTGGAGGAAAAATTAAATAGGAAAGGGGGAAATAGTTTCTTTAATTACTTCCTGCCTTTCTTGGTTGCCACCACATTGGCACAATTATCTTTTTAAGTAACTAAAGCAGGGCTCTGATTTCTCATCTTCTTGTTTTCTGACTGCAAGTTTACAAGACCCCAGTTTTGTCTTATTTGGAGCTACTTGGAGCCGTAGTTGGAGAGAGTTTGCCCTTGATTTATAGGATAAACTGACCTCACTGACATTTAAAGGAAGCCCCTGTTCATGGGAAAGTGTGAGATCAGCAGAAATGGGGGCTCACAGGGGGATCTCAATTTCTTAAGATAACTTCAGGCTTGTGCCCACCGACTGCCTTTTGTCTGTGAAGGCAAAGACAGACAGGCAGTTCTGGACCAAAACAGTTTCCTGGTGCAAATGGGACTCAATCTAATTCTTGGGGGTGGTAGAGGAGGAAACATAGTGGAAAAAAAAAAAAGACTGACAGAGTTGAAAATAAAACTTTTCTTGCCTAGGGATATTACCATCAGAGCAAACGTCAGTTGGGAAAGCATTGGACAATGGAAAGGAGCAACTTTTCCTTTTAGATATTGTTGTGATTTTGGATGCCAGCTTTAAACAACCCAGCTTGTGACAAATTTGTGATTATAAAAATGACCATTTCTGCAAAAATGATCACTCTCTTAAGCACTGTGTTAGATGGACGTGTTTAAAATCAAGTTACAATGGCTTTGCCAAACTTCGCTCCTCCATCCATAGGACCCAAAGACAAACATACATTGTTTGTAGCCTTCACATATCTGTTTGAAACTACACCTGGACACCGAAAAATGCCAATAATTCAATATGCACAACCCTAGGTATTATAGTAATTACTTTACACCATACGATTTTCTTTGCATCTCCACCAAGAACAGAAAGAATAACTGATAGCATTACACCTTAACACTTAATTTTACTTTCATTTTCTTAACCTATTTCATTTTCTCTTTCTTGTATATACATATTTGAAACTTTTTTCAGGAAAACCCTGCCACTAACACCCATGGCATGTATAGTGGCAATTGCAAGATTTATTTTTTAAGTTATATGCACATATCACATGTGTAATGTGTAGAGGTAGAGTATCAAGGGGAGCCCTATGCACGCACAAAGCAGAAATCTGTGCACGTATATTTTGCACCGTATCGTGGGAATAATTTAGTTATTTGTTTGCAAAGGACTTTGCAGGTCTTTTTGTTCTCTATTGACATAAGTACCAGATCCCCACAGCGCAATGAGCACCAGTGCAGGCACCCTTAGGTCAGACGCCCCTCTCTTTCTTTTCAGCCAGCCCCACTCCCAAATCGTTGTCAACCCCCAGTCGGCCTTGGGTTAAGAATGAGGAGGTGGAAAACAGCGCGTGCAGCCTTAAGGGTTCCTTCCCCTATTTAGGTTTCTTCCACTCCTTTGCCCTGGGAGAGCGGAGGGGCGGAGGGAAATAAAATACTGGTTGAAAAAGAAAAAAATATTTTCCCTCAGGCGTGGGTCAGAGAATTTGGAAAGGCCTACTCTCAGGCAAGTAAAACTTCACCAGGCCTGGGTTGGAAGCACAGGAGGTCGCGGCTGGGCCTAGCGCCCTCGGGAGGCCAAGGGCAGGGGGCCGACCCAAGGTCTTAGCCCTCCAGCTCTCCGTTGCGGGTTTGGGTCCCATCTCAAGAGTGGGGCGCGCGGGCTGGGCCTCCGGCCTGACACCTTCTCTCCTCTTCAGCAGTGAGCGACAGCTCCCCCTACCACAGCCCCAAGGTGGAGGAGTGGAGCAGCCTGGGCCGCAACAACTTCCCCGCCACCGCCCCGCACGCGGTGAACGGGTTGGAAAAGGGAGTCCTGGAGCAGGAAGCCAAGTACGGTCAGGTGAGGAGGCGAGGGTCAGGTCAGGTGGGTCGCTTGGCGGCAGGGATTTAGGCAATGAAGACTCGGGTTCCTTTCTGAGCTTCCCGCGAGAGAAGCCCAGGCTGGCGCCCCTTTGCTGCTACCAGCCAGATCCTTCGTGGACTGGGGCTAAGCAGAGGCCCGGGCCTTGGAAGGCGGAGCTGGGGCCTCGACCCCCGCCAGGGGTCGGGAGAGCTCGCCAGGGCGCGGGGAGTCTGGGGCGGTGGCTCCCCGGGGCGCGGCTCTGGGAAGCGCCTCCAGGCCTCTCGGCCTCTGGGGGCTTGGGGAGGCGGCTCCCGAAGCCCTTTCAGCGGCTCTCATTGAGGGTAGAGTTAACCAAAGAAGGCGCTTCCGAAGGGCCAGGCGGAGCAGCCCTGGGGCCTCAGACCCGCACCTTCACGCCCGCGAAACGCGCGCACCGGGTCTCGGCCTCGCGGTACAGCAGCGGCTGCGGGGTCCTCAGGCTCGGACTTTCCCTCCCGTGGCTCTCGGACAAATCCGCTTGGCCAGTCCTGTGAAGAGGGGCACTCAGATAAACGTAACAGAGCTACCATTTTCTCGACTAAAGGTCACATTGTAATCTCCCAAGGAAGTTAGTGAGAAAACCTCAAATCATACGGACTGGCTGCGGACCGTTTAATTTTTCTTTCCCCTCTGTCCCTCCCTCATGTCTCCAAAGGAAAATTTAAAACACTCGTGTTTTTTCCCCCCCGGGAAAAGCTAAGCAACCACCACAACAAAAGCCCCAGATTTAAGTCTAAATTCATCACCGTCCTAGAGTCAAGAGTTCAAAACTCTCAAAAACCGAACCTTAAGGCAATGTAAGGTTTCCCCAGCAGACCTCAGTAGGTTTGCAAATTTCTTAATCCCAAACTCAATTCCAAAGCCTCAAGCTATTCAGTTTTCGTTTTATTATTTTGAAGACTTAAAATTTTTAATGTTTTCTTATCTGTCAAAATCAGCTTTTAACATTAAGTGGAACTTGTTCCTCTTATTCACTTGGAAAAAAATCCTGGTCATTATTTTCTGTAACAAATCCCATTTCCACTTCCTCTTCCCTCTCTTATTTTGTTGAAATAGAATCAGAATACACATTGGTGGCTCTCCAATAACAAATAACACAGAAAATAGCAGCAAGGAAAGAGAGCCCTTTTCCTTAGTCTGTTTCTACTGTAAAGAATGTCAATGAGAAATGATAAGGAAGTTTGTCATTTTCTTTTGCTAAAGCATCCATCCTTAATTCGTAATTTGCAAAGAAAAGGCAGAATAGTACAATGGTTAGGAGCTCCAATCTCTGGCTGTACGACTTCTTAGGAAAATATTTAATTTTTTAGAGTCTCTATTTCTTCACCTTTAAAACAGGGAAATGATACTCCCAACCCAGAGGCGTTATGAGTATTCAATGAGATAATGCAACCATATGGCACATAGTAAGCATTTATTAAGTATTACCTGTGGTTCTAAGTGGCAGTTAAAGAGAAACGTGTAAAAGCAAGTAATATTTATCAGAGTATACTTTGTTCTGAGAGACCATAGTCAAAACTTCAAGGGATCTTGTTACAAACATAGAAAGAGTGTATACAAAGCGCCTACCAGAGAAGCAAGCATTTAATAGGCGCTTAGTGCTTTTTATTAGGTCATCATTTATTGGACTAACGTTGTGAAGTATAGAGTTGAAAAAGTTTCTAATTCCCACATGTCATTGATGAACCCAGTTTATATATCAAGCAGTCATAATCCAAAAAAACCTTTATAGTTATTATTTATTTATTTATTTTGAGACGGAGACTAGCTCTGTCCCCAGGCTGGAGTGCAGTGGCTCGATCTCGGCTCACTGCAACCTCTGCCTCCCGGGTTCAAGCGATTCTCCTGCCTCAGCCTCCGGAGTAGGTGGGATTACAGAAACGCGCTGCCACACCCACCTAATTTTTGTATTTTTAGTAGAGATGGGGTTTCACCATGTTGGCCTGGCTGGTCTTGATCTCCTGACGTTGTGATCCACCCACCTCGGCCTCCCAAAGTGCTGGGATTATAGGCGTGAGCCACCGCACCGGCCAGTTATTTTTATTTTCACTTCCTTGAATTATAGATCTAGCATTGAAACTTGTTTGGAAATGCTTAATTTATAATACACTTCAAAACTAAACTGACAAATTATTTAAAATAAAAAATTTGAAGTTTCAAGTAATTGATATTCTGATTATTAAAAATAGATTACCTTTTATATACTAAATTTTAAACCACTAAATTGTCACATTTATAAAATAATATAATTTAAAAAAATAAGTAGCCAAATAAATATTGCTCTAAATACTTAATAAACTATTTTTTCCAGAATAAAAAATATCAAACTTACTTTTGCAAAGTTCTCAATTGCAATATGCTAATCTTCTGCATTGCAATGTATTTAATAGTTAGATAATTCAAATGATGTAAAATTTCAAAACCTGAAAAGTTTTTAAGAATAGTATAAATCAGTGGCTACTCTATGATAATTATCAAAATAGTGCTTAATGCTGAAGATGTGCTAAGTAGGCACATAAACTTCAGTCATGCCATTTTTTTGAGCAGTTTTGAACTTTAGACATTGATTTCGTGTAAGGTTAAATTACACAGTAATACTTGTTTATAAACATACAAAGGTAAAGTGTTGCCCATATATGTGCATTTCTCTTACCAATGTTCAAAGGGCAGATTTATTTTTAAAAGTTATTTTTCAAAATGGAATCAGCATATTTCAACCAAAATGTAAACTCAGGTAACACATATTTTTCCCTCTGTTTATATTATGGACAAAAACTTGAATATCTTTGGCCAAAAAAAAATCTTTAAAAATTTTCCAACTTTCAGAGCATTTGTGATTGTTATTAAATAGTGCAATATTATGTGATACTAGTTTAATTTTATTATATAAAGAAGGAAATTGAGAATTCAGAATCATAGTGCTTAAAGCATATTTTTCCTGAGGACACCTGTAGAATTACCAAGGAGCTAAACTACACAACTGAGTATAGATACTATTGATTACCATAACCTAGAGTTTCTATTTTCAGCTTAAACTGTAGAGACAGATGTCCTGATTCCTACTAACTAAAACTGTATGCACATTTCAGCTATGTATATAGATATCTTTTGTCTTTGAAAATTCAGTTTAGAATATTCCAACTTGTCTTACATATTAATATTACATTGTAATTAACATTTTGCAGTGCCATTCAGAAGTCCTTATTGTCTCTGAGGATAGAATATTTATTTTGGCTTTTTTAAACCCACAGTTAATATGGGGGCTAGAAGTACTTAATCCCATTTGCTTCTGAATGGCAACAATGTTCTCTGGTTCCTTATGGCTGGTTCTTTTCTGTTGAAAGCATAAAACTCTAATAGAATACAATTGGAATGGTCAAAAAACCTCATATAGAGAATCATAGGGGCTGGAATACATTTGTCCTTTTAGGAAGTCTTTAGTGAATTAATGCTTCAATTTTATTCAAGCTATATATAAATAATTGTATAGTTCTTGAAAATTTTTCTACAAATGGGCATACTTTCTCAGGAAAAATACATTGAATATCTGATACTCTCAAGTAATTGGAGACACAGATTTATAAGCTTTGGGTATCTTCATTTTGGGTTTGCAGATGTTAACTTGGTAAGTTTAATATAACATTAGCTACAAACTGGGATGTCAGAAATAGAGAATAGTCTATAAATAATTGAACTTTTTAAAAGTTCAGAATTAAGTTGTGAAAATAGTTGAATTTACAGATATAATCTGAAATTCTTACGAAGCATTTACTTGTACATGCATCTGAAATGAAGATAGTCTTCTAGAATCCTAAATGTGATTTTCTAGTGTATTATTTTAAAAACTGGCTGTCCTAGCGGATGTACTGTTCTCAGAAAGATATAAATGATATTGCACTAAATTTTTCTTCATATTAAAGTTAATTTTTATAAACAATTTATAATTTATAAACAATGAAATCTTAGGCAAATGCCAGCAGAATGTCTTTGAAATTCATAATGTTATCTGTTATGAAAAACATTATTTGACCTGGTTATATTTTAACCAGTAGTATTTCAAAATAAAATTAATGATTATATATCAGTAAAATGTGTTGTATAAAATAGCAGGGAAAGGTAATTGAAAATTGTTCAAGGCTATGTCAATTTTAATAATATTTTGGAAAATTATAAAATTTAGAAAAGCTTTTAAATAGCAGCTTTCCATTTCTTAAAAACATTTAGATCTACAATATGATAAGTAAGCATAATTAAGATCTTGTTGGATGAATGTTGAAACCATATTTATAACCATCATTTCATTTTGTCAGGTATGTTTTACTAGGTCATTGCATAATGAATTAAAAAGGGAAGAATGACAGTCAGAAAAATGAGTTCACCAAAAAAGAGAAAATCTTGTTTATTTTCAGATCCAAAACTTTTTCTTGCTTATGATATTGAGGTTGAAATTCTAGGTGAAGCATATCTCTATTTGTGGCTAAATCTACTTTATTATAAAGCCAAGGTAAATTCATTTTATCATAAGAGGAGGACCGGGTTGAACTGATAAGTGAAAGCAGATTATGGGTAGAGGACCTGGCACTGTTATTTGCATTTATCTTAAAGATAAAAAATGTTGAATAGACAATTCCCAGAATTTGAATAATGGTCTATAACCTCTAATTGCCAGACATTTGCCATAGCAGTTTTATGGTGGTCACAAGTGTTTTGATACTAATGTATTTTCATTTTCTTGGAGGAGGGAGGGTAAATGGAATAACCATAAATCAAATAATAATGGCTAGGTTAGAACTTCTGTTTACTTTTTTAAACAGCTTTATTCATTTTGCTTGCTTAAAGTGTAATGCTTGTCCTGTGATAAACGGTGCCTACCTTTTTGCTTTGTTTTTTAAGCAAGACTGTCACATCTTTTGCTTTCCACAAATCTATACTAACTTAAGTGTACATATGGTTGTGGAATGCTTATGATGTATACTACTTTGTGGGGATACAAGATGATTAAGGCAAGTCCCTGTCCTCAAACAGTTTACAATCTAGCCCTCTGTCAATACAGTTCTTCGACATATTCACTAAAGTTACTTTTAAAAAACTGGTAAATCTGTATTTTGAACATTCAGAACAAATGAAATTAAAACATGTACTTTCATTCTTCTTGTAATAACCTTAACTAGAACTACATTGCATCTTATATATATATTTTTAGACTCTTTCCTTTAATGTCAGTGTGATGAAGTTGGTCTTTTCCTAAAAGTATTAAAACAAAGCAAGTAACTTACTTTTTCTAGGGTATGCAATTTAGTCTATTTTGCTTTGTATTAGTAAATCTCCTTCTCAAATTTAGGTAGAAGATAGTTTGCTATAGAGAGCACCCTTGCACAGTTCTTTCAGGGGAAAGAATTCTCATGCCTTTCGTGGAAGATCCACATGAGAAAGGAGTTGATGGATTGAAGTCTTATTTATGGAATCTTTAGGTAAAGTCATTTTCAAAAATGAGATTTCCATTACATGCCCATTGCTGGGGTTTCATTTGGAAAATTTGTTTACTCTTCCCTGGGGATTCCATATGTTGGTTGATTTATAAATCATATTTACAATCCAATTAAATAGAGTAATTTAGCATGTTTGCTCCCACTATATTTATAGTGTACATTTGGTAGTCTCTACTCGGCCTAACTAGCTTTTCAGATTAATTACATGCCCTTCACTGAAAACATTAAACAGATTTGGGACGTTTAAGTCATGTACTCTTTTACTGGAAAGAATAAACAAACATCAATGCTACCTGTAGTTGTTTTCCTTTGCGGTGGAAAATTTTACTCTTTCAGTGATTGCTTCATAAATAACAATTACTTGACCCAGTAGAGATTTATATCTTTTACTAATTTTATGTGTCAAAATTAATAGTGAGAAAATTGATGTGTTTATTGAGTCACTAAAATGAATAAATAATGAAGGTGGCAGGAGGCAGGTAAAATTTAAAGCACATTTACTTGCTCTTTTTTTTTTCTGAATTTACAAATCTGAACTTCGAAAGTAAAAAGTAAAATTAAGACAAAAGTCTCCAGACCCCCAAGCTAGGTCATAATTTAACCTGAGGCAAAACTAAGGGCTATTTTTATACTGTTTAAGTTTAAAGATTTCTATTTTTTTTAAAAGCAAACACTTTAGCCTCTCCTTGCCTTTTTTTTTTTTTAATTTTTTATTTATTTTTATTCTTTTGGAGATGAAGTCTTGCTCTTTTTGCCCAGGCTGGAGTGCAATGACTCGATCTCGTCTCACTGCAACTTCCAACTCCCAGGTTCAAGCGATTCTCCTGTCTCAGATTCCCAAGTTGCTGGGATTACAGGCACCTGCCACCATGCCCGGCTAATTTTTGTGTTTTTAGTAAAGACGGGGTTTCACTATGTTGGCCAGGCTGGTCTTGAACTCCTGACCTCAGGCAATCCACCCGCCTCAGCCTCCAAAAGTGCTGGGATTACAGGCGTGAGCCACCGTACTGGGCCACCTTTTCCTATGAGATGAAATCAACCCTCTCCGAGCTTCTCTTCCTACCTTGTCTTTCTGCAGTACAAAGGGGATTGCATTACTAAAATGATACTAAATAAATATTGTGGATTTAAGAGAACTTTGAAATATTTAATAATAAGAATAATGACATAAAGCAAGTTTGTGAATTAAGTATGAGAAATTGGACAAATATGGAAAAATTTGCTCATTTTTTAACACTTGATAAATGAATGTAATCATGGAATAAATAAGGCACTAAAAGGTAATACAGGCCTAAATCCAATGTCCTGCCGCCCCCTAAATTCCAGGAGCATTATCTAAGATAAAAGTTCAATGCAGCATGTCTCTGAGGACCACCTTTCAGGGGGAACATCTCTGGGCAAAAAGAAGTGGGTCCATGTAAGGGAACCACAGACATTGCAACAAAACAACTCAAGAGTCCAAGTAAATGGGGCACGTCAATGAGCAATAATTCCAAGAGCAAAGGTGTAAGAAAAGGGAAGATGACTAAGCAAGGATCTCAGAGAGAACTGTAATTTTGAATGACAGATAAAATACAACGAAAAAAGAATAGGTAGGAAAAATTTAGCTGTGATGAAAAATAGAACTCACCAACAGTTATGTTCTGCTAACTAGAGCATTGTTTCTGTCATGTATAATATTAAATTGTTTAACCTTATGTCCCTGTATGATGTTGGCCAAAGATTTTTATTATTTTAGAATTAATTTTTAATGTTAGCATTCTTTTTTCATTATTCTTAGTTCACACTGGCATCAGTAGTATAAAATATTAGTTAATGCTGGAAATGAAAATATTAGTTAACACCACATACAGATGTGAACACCTTTCCATAACTGAATTGGATTTATTTCTTTCCAAACTCATTTATCATAGATTATTGGGACAATTCTAAATAAAAATGATAAAAACTATAATCTCTATGCAAAACTAAATTTTTTTCCCCTGTAATTTGATAGTTCTCTATCTTGATACCCATCTCACAAGAGCCTTAAAGTGTGTCTCCTTTGAGATATAATCAGCAATTCTCAAAAAGTGGAAGAAACTGTTTTTTTTTTTTTTTAGAAGCTAAGAAAGAGGTGAGGATCTAACAATGAGAATCATGTTCTAGGAGAGAAAAGAATTTGTTACCGGATGTTATCTCAAAAGATGCTCTAGTTTTAAATTAAAGTGCATCTATCTTTTAAGTGTCCAGGAAAAACAGTATGATATGCTACAGAGGACCCTGCATTGGACAGGGGTGATAAATTCTTTTAACACATGGTCACTGACTTGCCAATTGGTTGAGGGTACATGGCTAAACCTCTTAATCTATATCCTTGTGTAAAAAGAGGATGATTTCATTTGTATTCAACAGTTATGTGCAGTAGTTTCTTGATTTAAAAAATGCAGCATCATCATTCTCTGGGACGCTTCAAATACACTTTAATTTCAGTTGAACATTGTCTTGTGTTTGTGACATGCTATCTTGTAATTATGATAAACTCAATCATTTGTAATGAACTATATAATTCATTAATCCTCATTATTCAGTAAAATATGTTGGATATTTCTTGGTGCCTGGGACATAGGACAAACTTAAGAAACTTTAGCTTCCTTTCTCATTCCCTATTTTCAAAGAACCAACATCGAAAAACACAGCCTGAGGTGTTTGTTCTTAGAGAACATAGACACAAGGCTAACCCCTCTAATATTTTTCTTATTTTGTCAGAAATGCATGAGTAATGTTAAGTCATACCCATGTATATATTCTATTCCATGTACATATTCATCTACTCTGCACTGAGAAAACAGTTTCTGAGACCCCACCACTGCATTCTCATAGATGTAGAAGTGAAAACAATAGCCCAAATAAATTAAATTAGAAAGTAATTCATATGTTGCAATTGAACGAGAAGACGTATTTAGCTAACATACACCTGATTAATTTAATTTTAAGGATTAAATCAATTTTCCTAATACAATTATAGTATTTACATTATATTTTCACTAGGAAATATGTTGAAATGGTAATTCATTCATGTCACTATCAGGACACAGGATCTACTCTTTATTTCTAAATAGTATAAAAATTGAGGGGAAAAAATTAGACTACTTGAAGAAGGATGCCCAGTGTTCATGCCAGAATCAGGATTAAAAATCAGGGTGTTTTTAGTGTTGTTAATAGTAACGATACCAACAATAATTCATTGGCTGCCAAGAGAGCACTGGTTTCTAGGCAGGCTCGCCTGCCAGGAGTGCTGCATTGTGTTTGCAAACAAAGATTTTAACTTCTAAATTCACTTCAAGAGATTTATCCACGTGGCTTTTAAAAACTCACATCACAGGGCCCAAAAACTTTGCAAGCAAACTTTCCAATTTCAAAACCAGGTATATGCAGTTCTTTTATATGAGGAAAGACAGTTTCCTTTCTGATAAAACAGTCCTGGAAAAGGTACCTGCAATATTCATTTAAAAATCCTTACAAGACAAAGTGCCTGATTTTTGTATGTCCTTTGTCCAACAGGAATTTTCAATATGATCTCTTAAAATATGGTATATATTTTCTTTAACGAAGGTCGTGTTTGTTGTGAGTTTCTAACATGACAGCCTGCAGTCTGTGCCCTTCTTTACTGAAAAAAGCTATACCAACCAGGCCTGTCACAAGTGCCTCAACAAAAGCGCCAAACAAAACCCAAGTCCCAGGAAGGTTGACAAAGGCAATGAAGACAGCCGAACAGATTCTAAGAGTATTTAATCGCTATTGATTCTTTTTTCACCCTGCACCTCCTTCCTGTACCTCCAAATAGCACAAGCAAATACTATGAATTTTCTGGTTGCAGCTTTCTCTAAATGTTTGTGGAAAGAATAGTATCTTGCCATTATGTTTGTTTAAGTGGCAAGACTGTGAATGTCTTTAGAATATAATAAAGCTCAATTTTTTTTTTTAAACAGTCGGAGAGTGGAGTTAGAGCATTGTTGGCTTACTCAGACTTAAATTCTGCTTCTAAGAACCTGTGAAATGTTCACTCCTATAATGTGATTATTTTTCACTTCTTTTCTACTCCTCTCAGGCACCAAATGGTCTCCCAGCTGTGGGCAGTTTTGTGTCAGCATCCAGCATGACTCCTTACCCTACCCCGGCCCAAGTGTCGCCTTACATGACCTACAGCGCTGCTCCTTCTGGTTATGTTGCTGGACATGGGTGGCAACATGCTGGCAGCACCCCATTGTCTCCCCACAACTGTGACATTCCCGCATCGCTGGCGTTCAAGGGAATGCAGGCAGCCAGAGAAGGTAGTCATTCTGTCACGGCTTCCGCACTCTGATGGGAAATTCCGTCTCCAGCAGCTTCACCCGGGTCTCCCCGTATCAGCACCTCCTCCCCCAATTCGCAGGTCTCACATTCCACCCCTCCTGCCCTCCAACTCTCCTGCCTTGAAAGCTGGCTGTACGGACTCACATCCTTTGTGCTGATGATACTTACATATTTCTTGCCATAACTTTTCTCTTGCAGAAAAACTGACATGACTTTAGAATTTAAAAACAAGAGCAACAATAAGCATTGAATGACACATTGTGTTGCCCATATACTGTCTTAATATAGCAAAGAAACCTACACCCCTCAAAGGGTTTAAGGAACTTTACAAACTAGTCTTTGGTAAAACCACATGTGTATATTTATTCTAAATCAACCTAAACTTTTGAAATGTGCAATTATTGAGATTTTGCAAAATCAATAAAGGAAAGTACTTATAGAAAAAAAATTATGCTACACCCTCTAATCAAATATGGTAACCAAGTAAGCTTTAATTCATCATTACGAAACAAATCAATAATTGACTTGTTTGAGTGATCCTTTGTTTATCTCTAAGACATGACCTATTTTGTTGAAAAATATATGTAGAACCCAAGCAATATCTGAATCTAGCTTTCCCTGGTGTTTTGACTTGGTTCCAAATACAATAATGTTTATATTTTCTATTAGTTTGTAAATATGGACTCTGGATGGTGCATTTGTGTCTTCATTCCATAAGATATTCCCCTCCCCCCAGCCCCACCCCCTTCTCTATTTTTTTCTTTCTTTTTTGCAAAGGTGACTTTCTGGCAACGTCTTTGTCTCTGTTTGGTGGTGGGCTGCTCGGGCTCCTGGACCTGGACTTGCCCCCAAATTTTGTGTATGCAGTGAAGGCTTCAACATCTCATGAAGGACACTTTCTTTCTACAGCAGAGGACACGAAAAACAAATAAAACAAGCCAGTCTCCCATTTTGTACCTAATCAAACAACACACACGCCAAGCATATAAAGACAAGAGGGTGGAAGATATCTGAACAAGAAGGCTCTAAAGAAAGTCACTTAGAAACTTAAGTTTAATGTGAAATGTTTTGCAAAGATGCTTAAAATGAACTTTGTGTTAAGAAAACCACTGTGAAACTAAATTGTACTGTTACTGTTGGCTTACCTGTGTGTTCAGCAATCTCAGCCCAAAATTATGTTGTAATTTAAAGAAAATGGAAAATTCTGCTCTAATGAATGTAACAATGGCTTGCTGTGAAGTTTACATTGTTGTACAGAAGCATGTATCACATGTAGGTAAACTGGTGGTGGTACTAGAAATACAATGTTATTTAATTTTAACAAATTCCCTTTATTCATTTCTGAAATTACAGAACACAGTTTAACTCATAAACCTTTCTAGACCAATTTATTTTTCACTTTAATGTTAATAACAGCTGTGGAGTATATGTGTGTGTGAGCATGTGAGTAGTATGTGTTGTATTTTAAAACGATTGATTTTCTGGGGCAAAATTCTACAGTTTGTAATCCCTTCTGTTTAGGAAGTTCTTCCTGGTTGGCAAAATAGGCTTAAAAATATGTTTTTAGGACATTGGTACAATTCAACTGTTGGAAAATTAATATATTGAGGGTTTTTTGGTACTAATTCTGTGCAATAACTAAAAGAGCACCTCACTGGATATGGATGTTGAAGATGGATTCCCTAGGTGATTTTAATTTCTTCCCATCTGTGCTGTGCAGTCTACATGGCAATGCAGTTCCACCACATCAGTTTCATGGCTTCATTTAAAACTCAGATGGCTAGTTAGGTTTTCAAATCACTAGGATGTAAACAGTAAGCAGATTAACATAACAAGTTATGTTAGAGTGACTGCTTTTTTCAAACAGCAGATATCTTGTAGAGAGCTTTGAACTGCATTTATTTCTAAAGCAACCGAAATTCAGTGCTACAAATAGAGGATTATAACTTCAGGAGAAGAAAAAGCAGGAGCAGATGAACTCTCAGGGCCATAGTCTTCCTTTGATCTTGTAAAACTCCCATTGACATCTGGAGTTCCCAGTCTGGTGAGAAAATAGACTATAAACTGAATGGAACAAAGATCCAATCCAATAATTTGGTGGAGACTTTAAAACCATACCATGCAGGGACTTTCCTGTCATCTGAAAAACTGATGTAAGGTACAGAACTATTCTTTATCAAATGTTTTTAGGTGGCTGTTAGGGGGCTTTAAAAATTATTAATTGCTTGTGTGGAAATGCAAATAATGTTATTTTCTTTATCTAAATTAAGAAATCTCTTGTTATTGTGCTATTTATAATTTTTTTCTGGTTCTTGTATTTTAAAAAATCTAATATTAATGGTATCGAAGTTTCCTTTTCTCCCTCTAGGTCTTAACAGTGAATTCACATGGAGTAATTTTTAAAAGACAACAGATACAATTTGCTATTCAAAGAAAATTATGATTTAAAGCCACTTTTTAAAATACAAGAAGAAAAATGGAATGGATTAAAGGGTTAACTTTTAAAGATAATTATTATTGGTTAATGTTGACGTATTTCCTCCATCTCATAGATGATAAAAGTGTTGCTTTTAAACTGGCAAATGCACTCTTCAGAAATCCTTTTCTATCTCATCCACATGGAGAGGTTAAAGGTTCAATTTCATGGCCTCTATGCAGGCAGTGCTCTCATAGAATGCAAGAGTATTACCTGCAAGGATAGAATGCAGTTGTGCACAGAGACACATTCTTATTTCTCTTTTTTAACAATTTTGTTTTGTTTTTAATGACCCTTTTATTGACTATTGGACTGAAATATAAATTTTAAAAAACACGTTGGAAAGGATGTACAACAGAAGGCTATGTATGTATATAGAGTATGTCAAAAGCCTTTTATTTTTATACTTCAAATGCTCTAAATTAATAAAAAGTAATAATTACCATGTTATCTTTTACTTTTTATTTTCAGAATGCTTTAGTAGTAGAAATAGCCCACGGTAGTAACTTAGGACAGGTGTCATGTGGACTTTCAGGTATTCTTGTTGACTTTACTGAATCAGCATCATTTCTGGATGCAGATATAAAATCAAGTTTGGTTACATCAAGACCAAGAAGATATTTTTGGTGGTACATGTTAGTATAGTAATCCTTAGAAATGCTAAGTGTATTTCTCTTTTGGAACATTTCTCCTTCATCATACATATTTTAATACTGCAGACAGCCGACTTCCCATCTGAAGTTGTCGTTTAAAACCAATAACCTGAAAATGCAGTTCTGTTCTACACATTCTTCCTAAAAATGGCGCAGGTAGGCATGTTGAACAAAGGTATTTGGATGTAAATACTGATGGCTGACAAATGGGTCCAAAGGTGCTTCCAATTTGTGATTTAATGTGAAAATATCTCATCAACAAAACTTGTCTTCAAAGAGAACTATGAGAAGCAAAGTAAATTTTATTGCATGTTTCCTACTTGTTAGAAGAGATTTGGGATACCGTGATTTAAAAATACATGCTTAAACAACAGTGTTTTAACATTCTGTTCTAAACAATGTTTTAAAATACCTGTTTATTATCTTACAGCAATGTGAGATATAAAGTAGATGTAGGAAAATAGAGCTGATATGTGCATAGATACTACAGAAAACCAACAGATTTACATTTTAACATAGTATTCATAAAATTAAACATTCTAAAAAGGTCATTTTAGTGCACTTTAAAGCATTTTTCTTGTGCTCTTTAAATATTATTTATGGAATAATTTAATTCATTATAAAAACTGTTTAAATTTTGGCTTAACTTTTTTTAACCCAGTCTTTGAATGATTTGAGTTATTTTCAATAGTTTAAGCATTTCTAGACCTCTTAGAAAAAAATACTGATCAATACAATGAATTTTCATTGTGAAGCAGTGAAGAGGAACATAGGAGACAAAGTTTATATTTCTTTTACAAAATATATGATTTCTATGCTATTTTCCTATATTCACTTTAAATACCTCATTGTTCCATATTATTTTTTCTTCTCACAGTTTTATTTATACAGCCAAAACTATCATCTCAAGTTGTCTATAGATATTTTTAAAGTATTAAAATAGATTTTGTTCTTGAACAGTTTTCTCTTTCATAATTATACACCTGGCTGGTCGATAGTCTCTCTTCTTCATGGTGCTGCATAGCAAATATCCATTATCTCAAGGGGGAAAAACACTTCCTAGGCAATCACCAGTTCTCCTGAAGCCATGAATAGGTGTATTCATAAACCAGCAGCATCACTGCACCACCTAGAAAAGAAAAGAGCTGTTTTTTATTGCAAATCCTCTGGAATAGCACTGGCTTTCCCACTGGGTTTCTGAATCCATGATGTCTCACATAGCCTGTCGGGCAGAGGCTGTTCGGAATCAGCAGTTCTGGAGCTTCAATACAAAGATACAAACTACTGTGGAAAATTCTCAGGATAAAATCAATACCATCTTGAGTCTCCAAATACATTTTTCCCCCATGAGTTTTTGCAACTTTCATAATTTCTCATCAGATTCTTTTTCAGGCACTTTTAATTTTTAAAAGTAAATAAATATAGACATATTTAGTCATGTAAGGGCATGTGGCTTTCCTGCAAACAGAAACCTTCAGATTCTTCATGTGTAGGCTAAGGATTTATCTTTTCCAGTCCATAATTAGCAGTCTTAATTGCATTCAAGAAGGAAATCTCTAAGATGGTGCTTGATGGATGAGTCTAGTTTTCTGTCATAGCTTTCAAACTGCATTGCAATGTGGAAATTAGATTCTGAATATTTAAAAAATCTGTATTGCAAAACCTAACAAAAGCAGGTTGAAAGCTAACCTTCATTCCTTTTATCTGCTTCCGGTGTATATGGATTTGAACTTGAAAATTTGGTAGTAGGGGTTGGATGGCATGAGACCACCATTTGTCTTGGAAAAAAACAGCTACATAACTAGTTGTGAAGAGACATGCTCTGTAGTATGTCAACAGGAATATGATACAGAAAAGCAGTCACTAAGGCTGCTGGATACCTAGCCACTGGGAGAAGAATTTGTACGTGGATCATTTTATGTTCTATTTGATGCAGTAAATAGCATGTGTCCTGTGCCCTTCAGGATAATCTCTTTTTATCCTTTTATGTCTAACTGTGTGAAAAACATTACAAAATCAAAATTTGGACAAATATCATGAACACAACTTAGAGAAGACTTGGCTGCATGAATAGAAGATTGACTTCTGATGGAAAGAAATAGAACTTGATTTGGGTCTTAGTTATTTTGAACATACTGCCATACATTTTTTTTGTTTTTTTAAATCTACAGGCTGCACATGTTTGTGTAACTATATACCAAAGATAATTATCTGCCTGTAATTTTCATTTTTAACCCATGAAGATACTCTATTAGTCCTCTCTCAGCTGCTCTAGACCTCTTGGAACTCTGACAAACAAAAAGAGCTGCGCTACAGAGGGTTATTAATATGTAAGTAATTGCTGCATTTATTCTTATTAACCATGAAGACAAGAATATGCAGAGTTGGGTTAGTTTTTGGCCTAGTAATAGCTGAAGTTTAAATCACAGACTTCAAGATTCTTTCATGGAAGGTATCTGATTGTTAGCCACGCTGAGCTGCTAAGGCTATTGTAAAAATGCTGGATGTTTCTCCAGAACAAACAACAAAAATTCCAGGCTCACATTTCTTTTTCTTTTTTGTTTTCTTTTATTTTTATTATTATTTTTTTACGTCTCTCTCTCATTCTTTAAGAAAAAATTCACCCTTCATTCAAAAGTCTTAATCTTAACTCAGTGGTACCTTTCTTTCTAGGTTTCTTTGGTTTGAAGTCGCTGTGATGCACACATTTGGAATGAAGTGGAGGGCAGGTCTGTGAGTGGTTTCCAGATATTCACAGTTTGGCTTAGCCTGGACAGTCAGTTTAAGAACGCTTTTCTTTGGGTATAACACCACAGCAACTCAGGACCCCTCATGCAAAACATTTAAAAAGCCAACAAAACATTTGCAATCCTGTAACAAAACTTGGGGTCAGATTATTTAAGAGTTTTGGATGAAGGTTCCAGTCAATTACAATTTTAGCTAACCTCTCCCTTGTCACCACTCTTTTTAGGCCCATTCCTTTCTGAGAAAGTTGGTTTAGGGCTGGTGCTGTGATTTCCTCTCATATTAGGTCTACCAGCAGGTTTTTACTCTGTGGTGAAGGAAAAACACCACATACTGGCAGAGATGCACAAAATTCCCCACATTCTATTACTGGGTTAGCTTTTACACACGGGCCAATGACTAACGGAAGGTAGATCTGAATCCCAAATATGAAGCAAAATCCATGGGTAAAGGCCTATAAAGATTGGGATAGATGGGTTGGGAATTGTGGAAGTGTTTCCTAAATATATGAGAGTGTGAGCTGTTCACCGTCTTCAATTTACAGACTGTTGTTGTTCTCTATCTTAGATTAATAGAAATGTTGGTTCATTGGGCTGAGATCTAAAGGTGAATGTGGATGTGTGTTTGTGTAGAAGGGTAGGAGGACAGTAGTATTAAAAGGGAGGAACTGCAAAGGGGAGAGCGGAGGAGTAGGATAAGGTTCTAGGAAATATTACCAGTATGTATAAATAGGTGAGTATAACCTGATAAAAAATATGTGTGGTCTAGAGTATACTTTTGTACTTATTCGCAAGGTTGCTTATAATCCAATACTATCTGCCCTGGCAGTTGAGTCTGCAGCAGTTATTTTCTTATCTATTTACACAGAGGCAGCCGATTCTCCCTGTGGGAATGGCAGCCGGTTTTTTTGTGGGTTGGCGTTCTGAAGTGAGGCCCTGAGCCAGAAGCCTCCAGCGTCATGCTGACAAAGGCCAGGAGAGGTAAGCGGCTAGTTACGGTGTCACCACTCCCCAGAGGTGACTGTGAAGATGAGTGGCTTTTGCTGTTCACGGAGGCAAGCTGTCCTCCTTTTCTCTTTTTGAAATGAAGTTGAGGCAGGAGCAAGAATGAATTAGGAGCACGAGTAAACATTTAATTGGGCTGGTCCCTCACTCAGTGAAAAGCCTCCCCTTTAGCCAGAAGCCACTGCATACACCTCGGCTCTTACTCAAACTCCTACTGCCTGTGGCTTCTTCCTATTGACTTAAGCTGGGTTTTGGCTTCTGTCAGCCTCCAGCAAGGTCATAAATAGTACTTAATAAACAAAGGTAGAACATTTTTAATGGATGTCTTCAGTATCTCAAATACTCATAGACAACTTTATATTCCAAGGTTTTTGTCTTTTACAAAGTGGTAAACCTTTATTTTGTTGCTGATGGACACAAATAACAAAAAAAGAGACAATAGAACAAGAAAGAAGTAAGGATTAAATAATCAAAATATCATTACCTGGTCCAAGTCTCATAATCTTGGGAAGCAGGCCTTTGTACAAAGCTAAAATCCTGTAATAGGAAGGGAAAGAGAAACATTCTTATTCTGAAAATAAATGGAGTTGTACCTTAGCTTTATTGAGATGGGGGCCCAGCATTAAAAAAAATAAATTATTTGGAATTATACACATCTCAAAGCAGACAGCATCTTAGTATTCTCTGCAGCAAACTGGATGTGGGGAAAGAGTTAATCAATTCTTTATTACCCAACTCTGCTGGTCCTGCCCAATCAGAAACATGACTTTCATCAGCGAGATGCTTTTGCTTTCAAGACAGGTCTTACTTTCAAGACAGCTGTGTATATGGACAGAATGACTTTTGTAATTGAATTTAAAAGACCACAAACTCAGTCTTTACATTCGGAAATATGATGCAGTTTATATCAAAATAATAAAATATTACTTGTTTACTTGAGGAAAAGAGTGGCGACGAAACAGAAAGTAAGATTTTAAAAAATCAGAAAAATGCACATACTTTAAATTTTTTAAATTATCTTTACAGAACTCTATAATTCTCCCAGGAGAATATAATTAGGTGGCATTTTGATGGGATTTAGAGTCAGAAGACAATTATTCTCCTGTGTTTATATTAATAGGACATATAACATACAATACTCTATTATGCAAACTGTCAAGTAAAAAGTTCATCTTGGCATTCTATGGCAAACACGCAGCATATTGTCACTTGATGGTGTAAGCACATGTTTACAACATCTTATTATTTTATTGTCTTGGAAAGCTTGTCATACATATTTGCAGAGTTTCTTAGACACAAGCTCCACTTAGGAGGGCTTACTGGTTCTCATCTAAATGGAAGGACAATTCAGTTTTAACAATACGTGAGCCTTATACATTTATTAAAATAAGAATGTGTTATGTTACCCTTCTTCCTGATAGACTGTTGCCATTGTTTTAAAACAGGTTCTGTACTTGATCTCTCCAGGAACTGGTTGAGGCCCTTGAATCCTACTTTTGGCAACATCAAAAGGGATGTTAATGACTGAGGCTATTGTCCCCGAGAGAAGACCAATCCCAAATTTTCTCAAAAACTCCAAGGTTGGATCCTAAAAGAAAAGAAGAATAATATAACAGAAAGGGGAGCGGAAGCCCCTAAGTCGGTTAAACACTATAAAGCAATATGTATTTAAGCAGAGCATTGCACTCCCGGCACCCTCCTGTTATTCCAGCGGAACACATTAGGATTTCCTAGGCTGGAACTTGTTTTCTTGACAATCCCATTGGCTATGTTTTTACACATGGTCTAAATTGCTGAAGTACACATTTCCTCACACAGGATTTATAAACACAGTTCATAAAGAAAGACTGGTATGGCATATGGGGATGATTTGTATAATTGGGCTTCACAATGTACTTAGTATTACTGTATCAAAACAGGAGAAATCCAAGCACACTATTAGCTAATTGGCCAGAATATTTTACAAATGACAGCAACTTCCACCATGAAGCCTACTAAAATGCTCATTTGTGTGTGGACCCCCAAATGTTAAATTAAATCAAGGCTACTCTCGGTCTGCTGCTATTCCCTGCCAGGTTTTTTGCATTTATTTTCACGTGTAGCTGATCCACTGTACTGAGAAGTGCTAGCTTCCTGTTATTAACAAACCAACTTGGGGCAGCTGCAAAACAGCCTGTGATATTCTGTGCATTATAAACAGTAGTAAGTCACTGGACTAATTGACTGAAGAATTTACAATCCATTGTTTCGGAATCTTGTTCTTCCTCCACGGCAAAGGAAGAAACTGAGAAAGAGAGAGCAAGAGTGAGTAAAAGAGAAATATTTCTTCTTTCTGTTAGAATTTAGGCCCTTCACGTCAGTCTGATTTGCTTTTCCACCCCCGCCCCCCGCACTGCTTTCTGACATCAAAGTACTTAATTAGGTCTTATGTGGGAGTCACTTTCCTTTGGCCTATTTTTGTGCCCTCTGAGCTCACATTATGATTTGCTATAATGAATTTGCTGGGAAGTTCTCATTATGTTGCCAACCTCAGTTCTATGTTTTCAGTCCTCTGTTCTCTGAAGAGAGGTCATATCACATACTGTAAGCTGCTGACTCTGACCCCCCACCCTATCTTTTCCCTGCCCTCTTTTTTGATTGATATTTTAGAGGGATCATCACAGAGGAATAATACAGTGCTGTGCCACAACACTATTTTATCCAGAGGGGAAGCATACCATGCTTAAGTTAAACAAGAAAATTCAGGTCTGAGCATTACATGCTTCCAGCCTCTATGAAAGAAGAAAACTTCTGAGGGCTCTGAAATTTTCAGCTGAACCAAGAGCCAGTTACCATCACAGAAACTCCTATGTGGCTAAATATAAAAAGCAAGGGTTTGGTAATAATTCCTGGATCTGGGCCATACAGGTGCCGGGGAGGTTTAAAGGGATTTGAAAACCAACAGGGTGTTTCAACAGGAAAAACAATGCAGTGATTGCAGTATGAGTGAGGTGTGTTTAAATAATTCCCTCTCCCCCCATTTTTTCTCTTTTACAAGGAGAGAAAAATGCCTTTATGTTACTCCTCTCCATTATGGCACAGAAGCAGAACTGGAGCTCAGGAGGACAGTGAATTCTAGACCAGCTCTGGTTGTCTGACCTCGGATGAGTCACTGAATCACCTAGAGCCCAGTGTATACAAGGGAAGTTTTTAACCCCTACCATACCTCCAAATTGTATCATTTTTCTGATAAATAAAAACAATAATATAAGTAAAAATGTTATAAGTGTTGCACAAACCTGGCAGAAAATGAATAGTATTTTTATGTAGCCTGTTTTCTAAAGATGCAAAACATTCTGTGAAAAGATGCTTTCTTGAAATCCCCGTGACATTGCAAAGCTCTCTTTCTTTTTCAATTAAGGACAAGAATGGAAATGATGATTTGTATACACATTGTCCTTCTGGGGAGTTTGGGAGACTGGCTGATGTGTTTGCTGAGGACCAAAGTTGGGGATGGAAGGTGAACAAAGAGACTCAGTGATGGTCATTGTGCTTGAGAGATGGCATTGGAAACCAAAAGCTTAGGTCTCGAGGTCATCATATCATAGTGTTCACTAGCAGGAGTAAGTGTCCACCTTTGTATTTATTTATTTATTTAAGATGGAGTCTCACTCTGTTGCCCAGGCTGGAGTGCAGTGGCAGGATCTTGGCTCACAGCAACCTCCACCTCCTGGGTTCAGGTGATTTTCCTGCCTCAGCCTCCTGAGTAGCTGGGATTCCAGGTAGATGCCATCATGCCCAACTAATTTTTTGTATTTTCAGTAGAGATGGGGTTTCACCATGTTGGCCAGGCTGGTCTCGAACTCCTGACCTCAGGTGATCTGCCTGCCTTGGCCTCCCAAAGTGTTGGGATTACAGGTGTGAGCCACCATGTCCGGCCCACTTTTGTTTTTTATACATTTCCCAGTACAACAGTAAGATCCCACAGTAGTTCCCCAATCCAGCTGTGCTTCAGAATCATCTGGCAATTTTACAAAATACAGATGCCTGGGTCCCGCTGCAGACCCATCTCGGGGGTCCCAGATCAGAACCTCATAGGAAGGTGCCTACAAATTGTTTAAAAAGCTCTCCAGGGCTCCTAAGGCTGCCAGATAAGGACCTGAGTCTAGGAATCAATGATTTTGATGTTCCACACTGGCAAAGCAGATGGTCAGTTGCTACCCCTGTGGGCATTCTAGGGAGGAAAAGAATTTGCTTGGGATGGCCATGAGGCTATCCCTGACCACTGGCTTCTGGGCCCATAGTCAGTCTCTTCCTTGACCCTGCTTGAATCCAGCATCCCCAGCTGGGCCTGCGTGTGCAAGGACAACCCTCTCAGCTCACCTCTGCTTTCTTTGCCACGTGCCACCAGCCATCCTCGAATGAATGCAGCATCTCAGATGCCTCTCCCGTTAATCCTCTCCTGGCCACTGCCACCTCTCCGGCTTTTGATCAAGTTCCCATTACCTTTACCAAGTCTTGCTTCCTTCCTGCCTTCTAGGATCTATTCTTCACAGTGATATCGGGGTTCTCTTTCTAGAAAAACAGATCTGCTTCTGGTATCTTCCTACTCAAAGACCCTCAATACTTCCTGGATGCACAGAGAATAAAGACAAACTGGCTCACTTGGCCATTGATTTCTTTCCCATACCCTCAATATGCTTCCAACTTATGTTTCCAGTTTCCACTTCTACACCCTACCCTGAATCCATACTATGGTCACACTGGTTAATTCATAATTACTCAAACATGCCAAGTACTTTCCCAACTCCACACTTTTCTTCAAACGATTCGTGCAGCCTAGAATGTCTTTCTCCATCATATTCACCTATAGCAATCTCACTGCCCTTTAAGGTCCTGCTTAAATCCCATTCACCCAAGGAAGTTTTACAGATCCCCTGTCAAAACTGATTTATCTTCTCCCCTACTCCCAAGATACTATCTGAACAACAGTCCTCACCTTTGCTATGGCCCACTTAGTGTTCAGTATATTTTTGCATGTATCTCTCTTCCCTGCAAGGCTGTGAATCTGCATAGCATAGGAGCATGTGTTACTCCTCTTTGTGTCATCTGTTTTGCAGAGTACACAGTAGGTACTAAATAAATGTTTGCTGACTGGTCTATCAATGTTTATACTTATTTATTTTTTGTAGAAACTATGAGAATCAGGCTTAATCCTTAATCATTTTTTTTTCCTCAAGACTTAATGTCTTCCAGGCTGGAAGTGAATCCTTATGACAACGTTGTATTTCTGTCTTTCTCTCAGAAGGTATTAACATGGGGGCATGACAAGGTATCAGGCATTTGGAAAGTGGAGTATTTCAGAGTGGATAAATTGAGACTTTCAGGTCACAGAGACAGAGCTAACCTGGGGTTGCCCAGTTCTATTGCTCAGCGACTCACACAGAACAACATGATATGGCAGGCTGTGGCCAGATTTTAGGAAAACAAACAAACAAACAAAAGCAATTGACAATTGACATAGTACTCTCTGGGCTCTTTGGTCTTAGATTTCCTGACCTTTTCCCTAGTAGAAAGAGGCATCCACTTGCCTCAAAAAGAATGAGGATTCTTGTAGCAGGAACACAAAGAGAGAGAAAAAGGTAATGGTTTAGTGTTTTTACTTTCAAATTAGAATCTTGATCATAAAAATGGAAGCCCTGGAGAAGAGGCATAGTCTTGAAAAAGATTGGGAGCAGGGGACAAAGTATGTGGAGTCCACATGTAGAGAAGGCACCAGGATCCCTACTAGTGGCTGTGGCCAGAGAGCCATCATGCAGGAGCCATCCAACACACTGGACCCTTCCTTGGCATTTTGGTACCGTGTGGCCAGGGAAAAGCACCTCCCTTGGAAGCTGCCCTCATGGCACCTGGAGGAGAGGGTCTTCATAGCTGCTGCCAAATCAGGTTCAGGAACGATGCAGAGCACTCCCTAGTGCTAATGCTGCTGAGCTCATCCAAACTGCCCTGGTGGACAACCTCCTTGTCAGCAACACAGGGCCCTAATAAGCCTGGGGACAGGACGATGGTGTGGAGGAGAAAGTTCCAACCCCAGTCCTTGGGTGGGGCTGGGTCATTATTTGGTACTTATTTAGAAACTTTCCTTTGAAGCTATCTAAGACATAGACATCTCTGTGAGTTGGTCAATGATTTCACTGTCATTGTGATGGTTAAAACCCCTAGGCAAATTGAATTTGCATAGCATTTTGGAGTTACCTAGGAGGCAAGTTGCGTCATCAGGGAGAAAAACCCTCAGACAATGATTCTTTACTGGTTAACCATGAAATAAGGGGTCCTCAACTTGGAACCTGAGTCAGAGGAGAAAACAAGCAATACAGGAACCCATTTCATTGAACATAGTGAGCTTTTGTGGGGAGTAGTGGGATGGGGGAGGTGGAGAGGACGGGTGGCCATGCTGAAACCAAGATGCTCGGAGCTGAAGAAAGCAAGTTGAGTGTGGCTGTCGCCTCTACCCAGACCCCTGTTACCCCTGGGGATGCCTCTGCAAGCCCCTGGGTGGTACCCAGGCAGCATCCAGGACAGCTGCCTGCTGCCTTCCGTCCTACCGCC